AATTTCCTTTAACCTTCCACGAGATAGACCAGCTACTGCAAAGAAGTTCGGTAAAACCATTTATACAAGGTGGCAAACTAATTTACACCGGAATGGACTTTTCAATATATCGAACGATTAGAATTAAAATTTATGACCAATTTTTACTCGACAGCGCTACCAGATCCGTTGCGCCAGAAATTATAACGGTAGCCTGCTCAGTCGCCAAGTCGCTCATGCCGCACCAAACAATCCTAGTCAACCGTGAGAAGCTGCACACGGATATTTCTTCTAATTAACCACAGTTCCTCTCCGATTCAAACAGGCCGCAAAAATATCTTGTGCAAGACTACACAAATTGAGTTGTCAGTCCGTGATTACGTACCTTAGACTACACAGAAGCAGCAAAACATGTAGCAATCGAATATAGTCACAGTGCAGAAACATCCCTCAAACCGTATAGCAGAGCAAATATGACCTCTCAAAAGGGTTACTTGATACTGATGGGTGGTAGCAAAGGTATACACATGGACTAATTCAGAGGCTATGAGGCATAAGAGAAGGCGAATTCGGATAGACGTACTGGTTTTTGTCTCGCCTGATGGAGAACCGACATCTTCAGGTTTTTGGTCTGTAGGTTGATCCCGCTCGGACAGTATTCGCATATCAGATTCACGCATCTGAGCAGAGATTAGAAAAAAAGCAGACAAGATAGTAAACAAAAAGAGCCATATCTGGTTTGTGGACCAAAATGATCATGAGAAACCATCGCAGTCGACTAAATGATTGTTTTAGTAAATCTCCCTTCAATGCTTTCGGCGACTTTGCGTTGACAACATCCAATTCTGTGTCTCATTAAATAAAACAGTTTCGATGCTTCGGTACGCTCATAGAGATGCAGCTCTAAGCCAGGTTTGCCCAGTTCAGATATGGTCAAATGTCACTTAAACATGAACCCCGCTCGAGTCAACCATCAATGTCCAGAAGTCAAAGTTTAATTCCATGATAGGTTGCTTCTTTTGGCATCAAATGAGTCTTTCTCATTGAATATGTTCTTCATGGTACCACAGTGAATTAAAATTACTATCTGCAAGTACTGAAGCGATTGTGTGAGGCAGTAAAAAACGAGCTGGATTAGGGGGATCGAAAGACTGGCTGCTTCATCACTGTGTCACCACTGCGCAAGCATTGAAGAAGTCCACATCTGAAGCAAATGTGACTTAAGTGTCTGATAGCTGACACTGGGTAGACCTTAACCAAAAATTCCGAGTCATCTATGAGGTATCCGGCGAGATACTTTAAGTTTCTGCGCCAGCGGATAATTGCAACAACAGAAGGCCTCAGGTTCAGCTTTTTAATATCTTTAAAAATTAATTTCTGTTCGCGGTATACATCAGTATATTTAAGGTCTATAGGTATAGAACAAAATTTGATGTGCATATTTGGTTCAAACTCCGTCAACCACTGTGCAATATAAATATGCTGTCAACGGGCAAAGTAGTAGTATATATTGACGTTGAAACTTACCATACTAACAGCCCAAGTACTAGCTAAAAGCCCCTTAGATGTAGACGATGTTGTATACTTTACAAGTGACATTGGCAAATGGACATTTAGGACGCTTTACGAACGGATATTTCATAAGCTTAAACGATGTCATAAGTAGAAAACTTTTAGAGTAGAAAATACGTCACAGAATTTCGGTTGATATTTCGTGAGATAGGCAATCTACTGTAAGCCATTGCAACTGGAGAACAGGGGTAGTTTGTGCATACTTCCTCTAAAATAGGTTTAAATTTATAAAGACCGAAAGCCAATATACAGATGCATGTAGTGTATGCTTGTTTTGCAGGCGACTAAAAGACGCACGCAAAAGCCGGCATCGCCGGGTGACTACAACCTTTTCCGATTATTCAGATAGACAGTCAATATTGCAACGTCATCCAAGTAATCCTCCCTACCAGAACTGCAGTTTTAGGGAGAGTAAAATGCGTCACGTATTGTATTTTTCCTCTAGTGCCCAGGCCTTAAGCTGTGGTCCCACGAAGGGGTGCTACGCACGGTGAAAGACGTCGATTACCCGTTTGATTGGCAGGCGGTACCAGATGAGGGCAACCGGCGTGTAGTTTTGGCACCGAAAAAACCTGTTGTCGTGAGGGGGAG